TTATAAAACCCTATTTAGATCATACAATTTAATAGCAATACACCAGACAATTCCACATTGGCCTTAATCTCTTTCTGTAGCCTAGTGCCCGCTGCTCACAGGTTCTAATTGAAAATCATTAGAAAGCGAGGCACATGCAATTTACTTTTCTCAAATAGTTCGTTGTATACGTCAGCTAAAAAGGGGATGGGGTGGCGAAATGAGGTAGAGGGAAACAACGAGCAGCAGCACGGAAAAATCAAACGCCGAACTAATGACAATTTTCAATGCTCCACGTGCTGGGCCCTGCCCCCAGCCAGAAAACGCCACCACCACCCGCTGTGACTAATGAGCGTTTCTAACTGAGATAAGAGATCTGGCCAAATGGCCAATGCCTGAATATATTGAGAGTATAGAGACCTAAACTGAACCAAACCGAACAAAACGAAACGAAACTCAGCGGAATACAGCAATTGCCGTTTGTTACCAAGAGATTTCGAAACAAATCAGATACAGATACGAAACATAGAAATGTGTTTACCGAGTACTTATGTCATTCATGAGAATGTATCTCTGACGTTTGCGGCCGCAGAATTTCGGTGTGATGTGATGATGATGATGCCGATGAGCAATGCCAATAGCATGCGATCGGGGGTATATATTATATAGTTTAAAAGGTTTGTCTTTGCCAAAATGATTGATTGCCGTTGAGACAATTATATATCGCGCAGATACAAATGCAGTGTGTGCGGCTAGGAAGACTAAGACTGTTTATAACTTACACATTGTTTCACTATTTTCGATGGCATTTCTGTAAATCCATTTCGCCTGTGCTGTGTATTTCCTTCACTTGATCATTTTTGATGTTCGGCCACTTGACTTGGACTTTTGATGTTTTTACTTTTGGCCTGGCCTAAACAACAGACCGGGGATCTCGGCGGCACTCGCTCTTGTCGCTCACTGATCTGCAGCATTTAATTTCATTGTGGTTGTTGTGGCTGCTGTTTTAATTAAATTTCGCAACGCAAACGTTGAAGAAAACATTTTGTAAATTGCATTTTATGTGCAATTTTCGTTCGACATTTGCGGGCCTTCGTTTTGTGTGCTACCAAAAAAAAAAAAGGAAAGCCGAAAGGGGGCTTCTCGGGGGGAATTGGAAAAAAGTGCCGGGAGTGCGCCCGTCTGCTGGCAGAATACAGTGCATCTAATTGCGAGTAACAAATGCCGCCTCATGTTGCTGTCGCCAGACATTTTCCTCTGCATCTCACTGCTTTCTTTTTTTCTTTTTCCTTTTTTTTTGTTTTTGGCTAGAAGGCAGGAATGGCTGTGCGAAGATGATGATGAAGCTGCCGTCGCAGTCGCCCGAAATGAAGGACACCAGCATATGGATGCCGGCTAGAGAGATAGATGGACAGTTCTGGGGCTGTTTTGGGGAAGTTCTTGATTAGATACCTGGGACATTGGACAGCAGCAAATGAGCTGAGCAAATGCTGCAAATGGATCAACTTGTCTAATTCCGAATGAGAGGAAGGCATGAAGATTTCTTTGTCAATTTGTTTACAACGCTGAAAGCTCAATAACAATAAAACTGTTCTAAGATATAACTATGAAACAGCTTCTTAGCATAAATATTTCACATTTCAGTTATCATTATTCAATCATTCATGCTTGACCTCCACGAAACCTTATGCTTTGTAAATATTTAATGTATTCCTTAAAGAAACTTTGTAATATTGCAAACATTTTATTAGGGCTTCCAAGTTTCGAGCCAACTTGGTGGGAAAAACTATTGGGATCAAAACCAACCATAAAGGGTTTCACTTAGACTTTAAGTTCCCTGGTGTGAAGATGTCTTGATCAATTTATGGTATTTGCGCTGCGCAAACTTTGGTTTGCATTTCCCATTTTGAGCAATCCTGGCGAGGACAGTTTGGCAAATGCCAATGCATACTTCAATTGTCTGTCTCCCAGACTGTCATTCTCCTTCTTACTATCTGACTGTCTGTCTGCCTGAATCTGGCTATATTTCTTGCTATTTTTACTACCTCGATTCTTTATCTGAGATTCTGAAACTTGCAGTTCATTGCGATTGCGACTCAACCCAGCGGCAATTTCTTCATCTTCATCTTCATGACGGCGACACATCGTTTTCTTTTTCTCTCTCTGATTTTTGTATTTTGTATATATATGTAGCTATATCTTTTCCTTTTTTTCGTTTTGGGCTTTGCTTGGATTTCTTGGCAAACGCATTTATATTGTGCACTTGTATCTGTACCTATGTATCTGTATCTGGCAGAGGCTGCACTTTATAGCGGCAGCGACCGCTTGATCGACTGAGTGCAAATTTCTCGAAGCAAAATTTATTTGTGATTTGCAATTCGCAATTTGCATGGACCGACCGACCGACCGACCGGCATGGCGATGTTGTTGTGGTGAAATTTTGTGGGTAATTCATCTTCATTTCGTTGCGGTTCGAGCTGAAATGCGTTGCGGTATGCAGCCGCGACACTGCCACACCGTTGCAGGCTATTTTCAATTCGTCCGCCGCTGTGCTAAAAATGTTTCAAATGTTTTTAACCAAAAATAAAACAAATTCTCAAAAAAAATAGGAAAGATTAAAATCAACCAACAGACCAATGCAAATAGTACAGTTCCTATTTTATAGGCTCAATGCACTTAGGACCAATTCCCACAAAAAACCATTCGTCTATCTCTTTGTAGCCATCCATCCAACCGTCCGTCAATCAATCATTTTAGTATCGGTTTTTGTTGTTTTTATGAAATTTAATCAGCAGTTTCCAATGCTGTGAGAATTCCCTACTCTTGCGGGGGTAGAAACTTAAAAAAAGATGGGCGAGAGGTGAGAGGAAAAGAAAAATGTTGATGGTGTATTATTATTAAAGGCAAATTTGACAGAAAACAAATGTTTCCTCCTGCTGGCATGCCGCTTAGCTCTTTGTTTTCTTTTCTTTTCCTCGGATTTTCACACAAATCGCTTTGTATGCGTCAAAGTTGTTGAAATTTGAATTAACCCTTAGCTGAGACAAGGACGTTGTGGCAGGAAACTGTCTGTTGGCATTGAATTACACTCGGTGGATAAGGAAGTTACCAACTGATCAATTGGGAAGTCATTAAAAATGATTGCAATTTATTTAAATTGGTTGCTGAAAGGTATCTGAGGAAAAAATCAGCTATCTGCGACATTTTCTTAACGTATATTTTCTTTTTATTGTTCTACTCAATTGCAAATATAAAAGCCAGGGTCAGCAGTTACCTAGGAGTTCAGCGTTTGACTTAATGTTTACATATTTGTATTTTTAATACGTATACAGAACTTGCACAAGCATCTAAAAATACGTCACAAAGGCGAGCCATTAACCTAATTGCAAAAGTCAGGCAATGGAAACAAAAGCCTCAGGTAGCAACAGGCGGCAGCACAATATAAAAATAGGGTTAAGTGCGAGCACAAAGTGGATCCACTCCTTTAATTTCTAGCAAAATGCATCAGCGAATGTTGTTTAAAGTGCGCCAAGTCGGCAATGAAATAATTGCAGACACTGAATCGGAACTACGGTAAAAGTTAATTAACTTTAATAGTAATTAGTAGCTGGTGGATTGCCAACAACGACACTGACATGCTCAAGTTGTGTAAGTGAAGGAAATGCCACTGCGAGTAGAAAAACGAGCGAGCAAAGTGTTGGAAAAGTTAGGAAAATGTCAAGGTGTTGTTGGTTGTTGGTCGATGGTAGATGGAAAACCCGTGTAATGATTAGAAATTATCCAAGTTTTACCACCTCCTAAGTACCGAGTTAATTAGTGCAGGCATCAACGGGAATGTTGGTGTCAAGACCACCTGTCCGCCTGCGGAAAATATTCGAAATATTTAAATTCACGGCAGTTGTCGTCGCTGATTGACATTCGAACGTGACGTGAACATGGTTCACCTAAATTCCGTGATTTATTTAAAAAAAATCAGCTAACCGAAAACAAAACGGAAATTATGTTAGCAATGCCTGCAGCCAAACCAAAATTCTGGTTTGCTTTAACCCTGCTGCTGCTGCCTTTTCCACAATTTTCAGCATTGAGCATTCAACATATCCCCATGACAGCGTCAATTAACGTGAGCAAAATTATGCAAACTTTGCGTTGACTTAAATTTTGCACTCAGCCATAGAGAATGTGTGTTTGCATTGGTTTAAATTGTGCCATTAGTGCAGAAAATCAATTCGTTTGGTTTTACGTAAGCGATCGAGCCATTGCGATAAGGTAGCCGAGTGGAGAGAAATGTTTCAAGAAATTCTAGCAAAATTAGAGAGGCCCTTCAATTTTTTGTAATTTGTAAAAAATAAGAAAGTGATATTATAAGCTTAGATCAATCCAAATAATTACGTATACTTATTTCCAGCATTAAGGGAATTTTCGAATATCTAAAAAGTTTGTAAATATTAAACGTAGCTTCTAAAGAAGTTAACTGGAATGCATAAATTAAGAAAATTAATGAAATTGAACTGGCCCAAGTTGATAGTTGGAAAGATTGAATAGTTGTTATTACCAGTAATTATCTCGATAGTTTTAGAACTGTGCCAATATTATAAATCTGTTCAACTTAGTTTGTTGCTAAACTAGTTTATGTCTGATTGGTTTTAAATGGTATAAATAGTTTACAACAAAGACTGAAAATCATTTACCTTAATAAATAAAACAATAGAACTGGTATTTGAAAATTGTACCGAACCTGAAAAAGGTGGTGTCTGCTTTGAATATAGCCAAATATTTTCTGGGTTTCAAATATTTCTTATATAAAGTAAACTGGCTTAAAACTAATCTCTTCACCAATCTGAATTTACGACAAATATCCCTTGGGCAGCATCATAAACTAAAATAACACCGAACACTCGCTCAGACCACGAAAAAGCCTGGCTTATTTACTATATATATTGATAAATCTGTTGTTATACTCTTCGTCACCACAAAGCCCGATACTTATCCGTATATGTGTGTTTGTGTACATATTTTTACAGTCCACACAACAACAGAACCAGCAGCAAGCACTTATGAACAAGTCAAATGACGACCTACGGAGAAAGCGTCCCGAGACTACACGGCCAAATCACATTCTACTCTTCACCATCATAAATCCCTTCTATCCCATCACAGTTGTAAGTACACACAGGAATATATATCTATATTTTACTCTTTCTCTCTCTGCAGCCTCTACTCTCCATACATACATATTATATTATACGACGATATTATTCTTATGTCCTCCAGCTACTTAGTATGGTGCAGGGAAAGATCTCTTCTATTTCCCATTTTATTTTTTTTCGGCAAGGAATCGTAGAAAATAAAATAAAATCCATTGCAATTTGTTTTGAAGCTGTTGGAAAACTTGTCACACACTCGAGCGGAGTTTTCAGGCATGTGTGCTGGGGATAAGAAAACAGTTATTTGCCACACTGTCGCCTCGGGCACCGAATGTTGTTGCAGCTTAGGCTCCAGACGAGTGTTGATTGCATCTGGCTTTGTGGTATGCTGCCTGGTCTTATCACATAAAATTTGATACATTTTAGCTACAAAATGGCCAGAAAGTGAGTGTCCTTAGCCGGGTCACTACTGTTGGCCAGGCAACAACAAGTGGTGGGGATAGCAGATGGGCCGGGATTTGGATAAGTGTTTTTGGTCCAAGTGCATTGTTAGGCGAGCAACAACCTGCAACGTCAACAGCAACAATTAGAAGAGGAGAGAAAAACAACACAATGCTACGACAAAAAGTAAAAAAAGGAACGCATAAAGTACTCAAATGTACTGGGGCTGAATAACGTGCGAGGCAAACGCATGGACAAGATACAATGACTACAACTGGGACTCGAGTTGCTTTGTACTCTACTTAAGTTGGAAAAGTTAATTTAAAATTCACTAAACTCTGGAATAAAACAAAAATATTTCGAGATAAATTTAAAACTTTTAAATTTGAACATAAACAAACTTTGAATGATAAATTTCTAACAACCAATAAAAATATAGCAACTTTAATTTCGAGCTAGTGAATTTTGTTTAATTAAATAATAATTTGTAAATATTTTGATAATACTTTCCAACTTTTAATAAGTTTTATGGAGCAGAAAATTAAAACAACGCTTACAAAATAAATGTGGAACAAATATTTAACTTAAAGATCAGCGTTTTTAGGGAGTGAAAATAAGTTGTTGAGAGCAAAGTTACTCCATTTGAATGTGGATCAAGAGGCTTTTTGCTTAGACCCGGTTCCCAACCCCATGTCGTCCTATATCCTGGCCATGTAGGGTAGTCATTTCCACATCCACACGAAAGCTAGACACGCACACTGGCACAGTTTATTGTCTTTTTGGCAAAGGCAAAACATTTGGCGGTGCAGCAGTACAACAAAGGCAAAGAAAACAAAAAAATGCGGAAATGTTCTCCATCTCTCTCTGTCTCACTCTACTCCCTTCTCGCTCGCACCGACAGTGTGGAAAAAGTGTGTGTGTGTACCGAGGCAATTGTATTTTCCAACACTTGAGCCAAGTGCGAGCGTAGTGGAACATAAAATCCTGTGAAGTGGAAAACATGCAGTATAAAAACTACAAAACTGAAAATTATTTGGGGCCAGCAGTAATGCATCGGTGTGTGTGTGAGTGTGTGCGTGTGGATAAAGCCAGAAAGCCCAGACATGTTAATTCGCATCCGACAAAATGGCTGCCTGGTGCAGCAGGATTTTCCGTTCGTCCGTCCTTCTGTCCGTCCGACTGAATGACTTTTCCCAGGTCCCATTGTCGTAAAGTCCGACTGACTGGATTTATACATTCGCATTCGCATCCAGCCTCTCGCAGCTTTTGCAACGGAAATAAATCTTTCTGTTGACTTAAGTCATCGCCATGGAGAGGAGCGCGTGTTTGTTCTGGAATTAAGCAATTCTCTTTACAATTCTCCGTTCTTCTCTCGCATTATGCGTCGCAAATTAAAAGCTTCTGGCAGTTCGGAAAATATCTCTTACATCCGTCGCCTTATTGAGCCGCATTCCGTTGTTAATGGAGCTGGCAATCGGATTAAAAGCATTTCCTGTGTCATAAGAAGTATGATTTAAGGATATTATCGTGTTAAGATCACGTGCAAAAATTAATTGGTCAGAAGCTTGTGGCACGGAAAAATAATCAGAATTATCGTTAGAGAAAGCACTATTTTTCTGAATACTCATAGTAAATTATCTTCTTCAAGCCGAACTTGGGCTGTATAAATTATTTAAAATTGAATTTATATGTGCCTGTGCCAAATGCAATTTAACTCCCCTCCCCATCGAAACACACTCAAAAGAAGCATGGCCAAAAAGAAAACTGTTTCCGGAAAGTTTTTGGGAAAACTTAAACTGGGGCTGGGCACGTTCGTCGGCGAGGAACGCTCCATCACACGCTCCAACTAGCTTTGGCTTAACTAATCGCAAACTAAACGACCTCTAATAGCATCCGGAACTTCTGTCAACAATGCAGACTCCCACTTTCAACCTCCCTCAGCCCCGCCCTCTTGCATTTCCACACATGCCGAAACGAAACGAAGAGTAAAGTGAGCTACGAGTCAAACTTTTCCGGAGCTATGCCGCCTGGCTCATTTCCGCAGCAAAGCGAACGAGAAGTTGGGAAGGGAATGCCGCTTATCCGCATGGAACAAAAAGCTTTCGGGATAAGATTAAAAACTTTTTAATAAGAAGACACTAAAAGCATCAAAGGAAATTTGCTTCTGCACACAAGCATATGTCTGCTGGCAAAGTGGCCAACAAAAAAGGCAGGGTTGGGGCAAGAAACCAGATGATAGATGGATGATAAAGTTGTGCAGCCCCAAACACTCGGCAACAAAAGGCCACGAGATGTTAAAGTTGAAGAGTTGCTAAATATAAAAAAATGAAAAAAGACCGGAAAAATATGCAATAAAAGTTGCAACGACGACGGGTATTAGCTGACACCAGCGCAGGGCCAACAATGTTCAATAATGTATTAGCATGGAGGCAGAAGGCGTTTCAGCCACAATGCAAATGCAACCGACCCCCGGAGACGAGGAGGCATATGTAAAACCCACTTTTGAAGCGGCTTATCAGAACGCTGCTGTTCGACTTTGTTGGTAAAGAAAAAAAACAGAAAAAAAGATGAGAAAAATAAGGCAAAATGCAGCAGCAGTCAGCCATAAGCTAAAGCCCAGGAATGTGTAACGGCAGCTGCAGCTTTTGCAATATGTGACACATGCAGGAGCAGGGCTGAACAACCGGAGCAGCAGCATCCAGCAGACCATAATGCGTAGCCTGGCAAAAGCCAACGAGTTAGGCGGGCAGAAATGGGTGTTCAGGGGGTTGTTCGCTGCTGTTCAGCGAAGGACATGCGGTGACGGCAAAAGCCGAAGCTGTAGCCCAGGCCAAAGCCAAAGCCATAGACCTAAACCCAACCAAACCAAACCAAAACCAACCCGAGCCCAGGAAAGCCAAGCCCTGCGCCTCCTTTCGAGGCTCACAAGAAGGGAACGAGATGGATTCGGATGAAAGAGGAGGATAAAGTGGGGAAAAGGGGGCGGGGGCGTGGCTCCTCCTGGCTCGTGGCAACTGAGGTTTTCAATAATGCACGTTGTACGGCTCCCATGCCGCGTATTGTATTGCATTTTGTTTATGCATGCGCCCATCAAAGATGGCAAAGATGCTCGGCAAATGGAAGTAGAGTGAAAAAGAGGAAAAGAGCGCGCACTGAGAGAAAAACTGTATGGAAATTCGTGTCCTTCTTAAAGAGTATGTTTGGAAATAAGTTAGAAAGCCTAAAGTTTACAACTAGACGTTTGATATCACTTAAAAAGGTGAAATAAAGTATGCACAACAAAGGAAAATTCATCAGACTTCCATTGCATACTTTTATGCACCTTAAAAGCGATCTCAAAACCGCTAAACCCATTTTAAAGTGGGAAAAAAGTTTATCCTAAATATAGTTTCAGTTTAATTTCCATATATTTTTCTGAGTGTTTAAAGGATGTAGAACAATTTTTTCTTCTTTGCTATGCAAGTTTGACAAATCGATGAGGTGGTTTCTTATCCAACCGTTCCTATACCCACTCCCATTTTCAGCACCCACTGCCGTTTTTTTATGAGCTTCTTTTATGTTCGCCGCCGTTTGCTGCGAAAAATCTCGCATAAAGTTGCCTTTATGGAAATATGCAAAACAATAGATTACGATGTGTGAGGCCTATTGAACTTTGATTGGTCGTTCCGCCCTTCTAGAAAAAAATCAAATAAAACCTGGTTCTTTTGAGTACAACGTAGTCAGATTTCATTTTTAATTTCAACGACACTAAGGTAGCAGTATACAACAATGGCTGCACAGACATTTCACTGTGCCAACGCACATACATATTGCCCAGAAATCTATTGACTACTCGCTTCCTTGAAGTCCTTGCTGAGTATGCGATAAAGTAGATCCGGAAAGCACTTGATATCGTTCTTGGTCAGGTGGCCGTTTTCGTACATTTTCGAGAATATCTGAGGATAATAGGGAATGATATTTTACAGTCATGTTTTATGCACAAAACAGTAATCTCTTGTGATTTATCTATCTATCCCCTTTGGGGAAAGGGAAATGTCAGAAATGTTTGCTAGAGACTGTGAAATTCGATTATAAGTGTATATCATTTATTAGGCTTACCAACTCCCTGAGCCGTGTGCCGTTCAACTGATTGGTTCTCTCCTTTCGCCAGCTGAGATGTTGGTCGGTTTCCACTTCACTTATGGTTCCTGCTGTCCACTGGTTGGATTGCCGAGTTTTGGAGCTATGTGCAAGCTTTTCCTTGGATTTGGTCACCAGACTTTGGTTGCTTTCCCGAAGAATTCGCTTTTTGGGAAATGCTTTTCCCTTTAACCTCATTTTGCTTTTTAAGCTGACCTTGCCTTTAAAGCTGCCTTTGCTTTTCTTTGAGCCCGGGGTTTCACTTTGACCCGTTGTTGTCCCCTTGCCGCCCTCGAGACGTTGCTTCTTGGCGTGCTGCTCCAGAAACTTGGCATCCCGTTGGGCCTCCATTTCGAGCATCCGCTGTTGCCGAACCCGCTGGCTGAGATTCCGCTGGTGCTTACGTCGATGGGCCTTCGTGATGCTGCTGCTGCGTTTGGGCGAAAACTTGCGTAGCTTCTCCCGGCGGACACTCTGCCAGATGCCCAAACGCTCCTTGGCGCAAATGGGCGCCAATAGCTGCTCCTTCTGGCGCTGAATTTCTCGTGCGATCACAGCTCGATGCTTTTTCGCCTGGGCTTCGGCCTCCTCGCGACGCCTCCTCGACTGCAGGATGACGGGATTCACTTGGGGAGCTTGCAGCTGATCACCCGGCCAACGGACTTGTTTGCCCATGCGATGCTGCGCCTGCGCCAAAAGCTGCTGCTGCTGAAACTGATCCTGCAGGCGGTCGCGCTGGTGTTTCTGCATTGCCTGAAGGATAATAAAAAATAAAAACAAAAATATGACAAACTAAAATGATTAAGTCCAAAAGTGAATAATTAAATATTGGAATCAAAACATGGATAAAATACCTTAAGACAGGGGTGCACACATTTGTTTTTGTAAAGTCACATAGGGCACACGCCGATTCTTCCTTGTGTTTTTTTAAATTGTGTTTCTAAATTCACAGTCATAAGGCAATTTTCAGCACCCCTGCCTAAAAATATCCTGCAATTTTTCCGATAAACCCACCTGGTGATTCAGTTCCTCGCGTCGACGGCTAGCAAGTGTATCTGCAAACATGGGCTGCTTGTTCTGCTCGTAGAACTTGCAATAGTAGTTTACCTTTTCCGAGTCCCGCGGGGGCATTATGCGCCGGTAGTTGCCTAGGTGACTCTCCTCCCAGGCAATCTGCTGGGTCAGTGCGCCAATGGAGCAGGCCTGCCGCACATCGTGGCCACCAACTTCTCGCGTTGGCGACGAATAGCCCGGCATCTGTGCTGCGGCCTTCTTGTTGTAGATATTCCTCAACAGCCTGGCCCTGTGTTCGGTTCGATCGTCGCGTATGATCTGCTCCTTGTCCACCAAAGCCGTGCTCAACATATTGAGGGTGTCGCGAATGAGTGGTCGCTTTACCTCCATGTCCACCGACTCATCTGCACTCAAACTGGGCGTATGATTGACCTCCAGGATGTAGGGCTTGAGCTTCCAGTCCACCAGGATGTCAAAGCCGAGCAGCTGGAAGCTGGCCTGTATCTTGTCGTGCTTCGGAAAGCACACATTGTAATTGTGCTTCAAGGTGGGCCAAGCACTGATCAGCGTCTTGATGATCGCATCATCGACACTCGCCCAGAACTCGGCCACATCGTAGTTGTGATCCACTAGCCATTTATTGAAGGCGCTGAGCTTCCGCTTCGAGCCCGCTTCCGGTCCATTGCCCACCATATACTGCGAGTTTCGTCGATTCAGGCAGTAATTGGTCAGGTGCATGAACACATTGTGGCTATTTCCTATCGTTGGCGGCACGTACTTCTGTGTGGCAAAGCGTGCGAGGCCCTCATTGTAGACGAAAATCCGCAATGGATCCACCGAGGTGACCAGAGTGTAGACCCGCAGGTCAAACTTGTAGCCGTCAATCAGCAGGGGCTTTGGGATAGAACTGGTAAAGAAATCTAAATCCATTGATCTATTAATCTTACCCGCTCAATGTAGGTCTGGCAGATGAGCTTTTCCCGCTTGCCCACGGTCCGCAGATCAGTGGTTATCCAAATGCCACGTCCCTGACCCGCCGAATAGGGCTTCAGAATGAAGGTCCTCTTGTGTTTGCTGGCATAGATGGCCACATCGTAGGCACTGCCAGAGAAAAAAAGGGAAGGTTCACCAATCAAGGAAGCAAACTCAACTTCAACTCACTCTGTTGGCATGAGCCAGGTCTTGGGAAAGATGCGATAGTCGCCGGGAAATAGCTTCAGCATCCGATTCAGGTTCCTCGACAGCAGATCCTTGCGACATATCTCCACCATGCCGGGAAAATGGTTGATCTGCTGAAATCGCTTCATGCTCCGCAACAGATCGTGATGGGGCGTCGAGTCCGACCACTGGATATTCCACAATCTGTGCTCGGGCACATGCTGAAAGCCCATGTTCCTCGTCACCTTGCCCACCAACTGGAATCGCGTGTGCTCCACGCAGACGCTCAGTCTCAGGCCGCGGATACTGGGCACTATGTCGGTGCCGTCCACATGGAATTGCATCGGTGGCTCCTTGATGACGTTATAGCAAATGGCATCCAGCTGGGAGGCAGTATACACTGGTTTGTCCTTCAGCTGTTGTGTGTTATCCTGGGTAACGACCATGATGTGGTCCTCGTTACCAGCACCACCACCGCCACGTCGTCGCCAGGTGGGCAGGTGATTATTTTCGCGAACAGGCCGACGCTTGCCACGCGACTTATTTGAGAGAACGTAAACGCTTTCGCGATTATAGACGCCTCCTAATGGCTTTTGGCCATTATTATTGTCACCCTTGTCCAGGGGCAGGGATTTCTGGGCATCGAAAAAGCGCGTATACGGATTGAGCTGGGGCTTCGCAGCCTTTGGTGGTTTTTTGGAGCGCATCGGAAGGTGGAAAGAATGATAGTGATGATAGTAATAGCCTTCTGCAGAGCTCTACTCTTCAATTTCTCATCTAAAAATCCGAATACGAGATATGGGAACATTGAATTTTGACAGTAAACTATTTGTAGCATGTATTAACCGAGTGACAAGTGATTGCTCATTTCGCAACCTTGGTACGCCCACCACCCACCAAGGTCAAGTGCTCAGCGGTTGACATCTGAGATCTGCGGGCCACTCGATTACCAAAGTCAGTGCCGCGGATGAAACCTGTGCCATGCGGTTAGCCAAAACACCTTGCGACAACTGAAACGAACCAGTGAGCACACCTGGCTGCCACCCCCCTCCCCACACTCTCCCCCCCGCCTTTTGGATTAATTTCCATGTAAGGCAGAGCCTTTGGGGTGGGGCTCATTAACCGCAGTTTAATCAGGCTTTAGGCTCATGTGGTTATTAGTTGAAGCAGTCGTCAGTGTGACGGGGAAAAGTACAGAAAAAAGTTATGGAATAGAAGAGAAAAATCATGAACAATAGCATTTACATGGCCACAGATGTAAATGTCGGCTTGTCATACGCTTGGTTAACTGGGGCCACAGGGCCAACTAGCAGAAAGCCAAGAGGGCGTGGCGTGATTGTGTGGATAGGTCACCTACGGTGTGTGTTTACTCCCCATTCCCCCTATGAACTGCAATCAAAAGTATTACTGCACTGAGAAAAAAATCTATAAATATTATGTAGAGACAGGTGAATCATAAATGTCACATAAAGACCTTATATTTTATCGGCTTTTTAATTTATTTTAAAGATTTTAAATTATTTTGATATGAATAAAGTTTTACTTGTTAAAATGTATAATTGGTATTTATATGTTGATATGTTGACTCATAAATTCACATAAACCTTATATCGAATGTTGTTAAAAAAAAAAATTCGAATGTTGTTTTCTGTGTACAGTTCAATTTGCATTTTTAAAATCTAAGACCGACACTAGGTGTTTGAAATTCGAGTATGGGTTTTAAAACTAAATGATAAATCAAGTAAAACCAAGGGAGAAACCTTTTTATATTTTAGTTACCAATTGCTCCACCCTATCATTTAATCGTAGTGTTTTTGTTCAGTTTTATTTTCCCTTTGTTTACGAATTAAGTGACACAAACAATTGTCGAAGCTTGTGCCTCATTTTGCACATGTGTTGTTTCAGTTTCGGCAACGAACCATATAATTTGTCAAGTTTATTTGGTTGAGTAACGTTTTTGGGCCCGGCTTCTATTTTGGCCCACTGGCTCTTTTCCTCTAATTGGCTGTCCAAGTTAGTTTGCTGGTGCTTTATTTGTTTTTGTTGCGCAGCTAATTATGCGCCCGCTTTGTCGCTAGAGATGGCAAACACAAAAAGCAAGAGGGAAAAGTGTTGGCAACTTTTCTGCATTTCAAATATTAATGATAGTGCACGAACCGCCAACAACAGAGAGGAGGTTGGAATGATAACGATGGGGGAACGCTTTTTGTTGACAGAACAGGAGCGTTGATAAGCAAGAGAGAAATGAGCGGAAAATGGCGATTAATGTTGTTTTCACTTACGATGGAAAGCGAAAGAGTCGGTATAAATAACAGTGGTTTCTCATAGAAAAACTTGCACATTTATTGTTTCGAAAATGGCAATTCCCCCTTAATTGGCTGCATAAATATGCGTAATAAATTATTGGACAATAATAAATCTCACTTTGGATATTCCCGCATTTTTAATATATAAATAAAAATATAATAAATTATTTCTCCTGATTGAATATTTCACACTTTTATATTTGACTGAGGACCGTAACCAGAGTAAATGTTATTTATTTTTTTCCTCATTCAATTATTAATTGACATCCTTTCGGGGGCCGCCTCCTCGCGATGTCCGCTGGTTTTTTAATCAAGTGCAGGAAGGACGCAGAGCCGGCACGTGAAATGAGTGTAAAATCAGAGGACGGCAAGCGGTATTAAATATTTAAAGGTGTGCTCACACACATTTCATTTGCAGCTGCAAGCGCGGCAAGAATTTAAAAAAAAAATGGTATAAAACTGGAGCCCCAGAAGCATAATAATAAAAAATTAAACAAAAGGAAAATAACAAAACCAAACAAGCAGGAGGAACGTGCGAAGTTGGGAGTAGTGAATATGGTTCATAAACTCGCCCGGCAGATGATGATGAAACCCGAGAGCCGGGGTATAAATTACAATGTGTGAGAATGTTCATATGGGGGCCCTGTGTATATATGTGTACTAGTTTTCACAAATCCCTTTATTTTTATGGAGCCACACACAGTCGCATTTTGACTAAGCGCGCATTAAAAATTAATCTTTTAATTACTGCCTGGTTGGTTGGCTGGCGGGCTCATCTCATCGTCATCTCCCCTACAACAATGAGTTGCGGGCTATTAATTTGGAGTTCAGCGCGGGTATATATATTTTATTTTCGCATTTCCATTGACAGCCATGTTGAGTGACACTTTAATTTCCATCTTGAGTAGCCAAAAAAGGTTTTCAGGGATTTTTGCGTGGGTTGAAATTTAAATAATAACAACATCATCATCTTTTCTTGGCTTACAATGTGAAAAGCCCTCTATTTCTCCACTTTTAATCTCCGTCATGCCTTAATTCCCCTCTGCCATGTTCTTTTGTGGAAATCTCGCGCAGCTTATGAAAAAGTTCCGCCGCTCTAAAAACACTGTAGCATATTTTCCAGCTTAGCAACTTTTCCTATTGCCCGAACTCCGTATTTTAATTGCTTTAATTGACCCGAGGAAAGAAATGCCACAACTTCCCACATAAACTTAATGGCTGGAGGACAGTGCTCAAAAATCTCCCTCACACACTTGAATTCAATTTACACTTTGTCGCATTAACATTTTTGGGGTTTTTAATGCCTAAACTTTTGCAGGGGAGCTAAAATTTCGGGTTAAAAGCTTTTGCAATGCTAAAGTTTTGAATGCGAGAATGAACGTTTATTGCCAGAACTAAATCCACTTTAATGTTTCCCCAAAAAATACGAAAAAACTAAGCGACTAAGCTTTGATTTAGTTATTTAAATATGAGAGTCGAAGCGGCCCAAATCACATTTATCATTTTCGCCTGGGGGATGTTTTGCAATCCCCAGGATTAGATCTAGCAAACGTGATTAACATCGCAGAGAGTGATACAAATATATTTCGGTGTCATTTGGAATTCCACGTTTGATTTATATATGCAGGTCATACAAAATGTCTATGCATATAGCCTGCTCTATTTTGTGCGAGCTACGAATCCCCGTAATTATGCATGAATCGTGAAATCAACTGCATTTGGGGGCGTTGGCTGGGCTTTTCGGGATATTACATACATGTGTAGGGGGAACTATGGAACTGAGAACTGGAAACGCATGAATGAATGCGCCCAAAACAATGTATGCGCATAAATTTGAACACTTCACCCTGCGAGACGCAATGAAAATGTTGAAATGTTAAAATGCTCGCACGTACTGCAAAAAAGTTATTTGTAATGCAAAACAAAACCAAATCAACAGCAAAAACAAAAACAAAAACGTGGCCTGTGAAACAACAAACTAAACAGAAAATAGAAAGCAGAAGCAGCAACAAAAACAAAGAACAAATGCAAACAGCAGCAATAAGAACAACTGTGAAAATAGTCGAGAAGTGGTAAGACTTTTTGTTTGGCTGCCTTACTTTTAGTTTAGTTTCAGTTGGTGCATAGAGTGCATAAACAACAAACGCATTTGTAATGAAAATAAAATTTAACGGCACAAAACACCAAGGACATGCCCAAGTGGAAGACGCTACAAAGTATGCAACAGTTTCTGCTTCAGCTTCTGGGCCTAGTGCACTTACGGCACTTGGCCAAAATAGCGAAAACTGCGCAAAAAAAGAAAAGCGGCAGAAAAAGACATTTTCCTTCGTGTCCAATATTTCTGCGACGCTTCTGGCGGTGACTCACTGAAAAATAAAGGCTGCAAAAACCTTCTTTAATTGGAAAATAAATATAGGGAGTACTTGTTATATAGATAGAAATATCTAGTGATTTAAGATTTAAGTAATTATTGGGTATAATTTACCCAATTATTTTACCCCAATTTTAAAGATTTCGGAAAAGTATAAATGAAATGTTTTTCTCTTTATTAATAGCTATCGAAATTTAGAAGACATTTTTCACTAAAAAGTTATGAGCAAATAATCGAATTCAAGCACGAATTCGCACTTTCTTCAGCTGCGTAATGGATATCTCGAGGATATAGTCGAGGTATTTGACCATAGCGTTTTCTCTTGTTTTTTTCAAATTTAAGACTGTGCACCAGATTAAAAGAGAATGTTCTTGGTTCTAGCATAAAATGAACCGCAGCCTTACAAACCTTTTTCTTTTATTAAAAAAGTTATAATAACATGTACATTTCTAAAACGAAAAAACCGCAAATCCAGAGTTTAGCTTTTGGTTTAAGCCTCCGTTTTTCCCCTCAGTGTGTGGATGTGTGGATGGTGGCTATGTGGCTGATGTATGACATGCCAGCAACAAATTGCTGCAAAAAAGGAAAATGGCGACCAAGAAATGTGACACCTCCTGGCCACTTGTCAATGTCATAATTTGCCATAATGTGCGAGGGATGGGCAGGGGAGGGAGCCCAGGAGCAGGAGCAGTCAGATGAGAGATGGAGATGAACTAGCGAGCGAGACAACAGAAGCAGAGGCATCAGAAGTTGTGTGGATGTCGAAGGCTGATGCCTTTTGGCCCGAGGCCGTGGTCGAAAGGGTCCTTCTGCTGGCTTCTCGCAGGGACTAAATAACACGATGGCTGGTTGGGTGAATGGGTGTTTTTCCAACTCCTGTCATGTCCTTGGCTCTACGACGAGCACTGTCAACATTAACACAGCCCAGAGGCATAAAAGGCATATCCAATTGCAAAAAGACGCATGCCGATAACAAAGGCTCGGCAAACATTCAACGAACATTAGAGCCACGCCCCCAAACGCTTGCTTCCCCGCCCCTGCCAACACACACCGACACACACACATGGACATGTGTGGATCCTGGTTGTCGTATCCTGGTGCTCTCGTTTGCTGTCTATTTTACTTGGTCATTAAATTTGGATTTTGTGCTGTGCACATCGCCAGCGCTTGACTTTGCTGTTAAATACATACATATATATCTCTACCCAAACACACAGAGGCATCTACACATCCTACGTCTCTTTAGTGGCCTTTTGTGCGGCTCCCTGTGCCTAACCTTTCGCCTCTCGCCTTGGCCCCCGATTTGGCTTCAACTTGCCGCCATTGTTGGCCAGGCAGGCTCTTTGCATACAGACATATATGTATATTCCATACATACATATAAGCAAAAAGGTACGGTTGGTTCGGAAACGTGGAAAATCTCCCCATCTCTCGCTCTGCTTAACATCGGTTTTACCATACCCTCGATGTTTTGTTTTGCTTTCGGTTTTGAGTCCTTTGTGGTTGAAGATTTTTCCTACATTGCATGGCAATTGCAACAAGCAAAAAATGTTTTTGAGCACTTAATGCTCCGGATTTGATAGTGGGCTGGGTTTCCACCAGGAAAACGGCTCGTTTAGGCTAAGCTGCAGTGCCAAAAGCACATCCATTGATGGGATTTGTGGCAATCGGAGTTTTGAGTCTAACTGTCTGGCAAGAAATCGATATTCTTTTTGGTTTTAAAGAAGCTAATACCATTATTTTGTACACCAAGCAACTATTCCATATTACGATAGGTAGAATAAGTTTTACGAGTGACATTCATTTTACTAATTATCTATTTTTATCTTTATTTTTAGGTAAGTGTCCCTAAGTCTTCTAGAATTGGTTCGTGAGTAATAGATATAAGAACGAATTCCCAATAAACATATTATCACATTTACCCTCTGGTTTAGGGAACTATTGTTCATACCTTCGAGAAACACGCATATCCACAACATGAATAAACAACATTACCCACATATTAAACTATCACATCAAGATATCAAGAAGACACATCCCTTATTATCAACATACTCATCATTACTGTCATCCTGAGCTATAGCAAAGAAGTGAAAATGCCCATGCTAACCCAATAAATCTGTAGAACATTTGACGAGGACCCAGAGAAAGCCTTTCTACAGGGTCTCGGCAATCACAAAAGTTTTCGGGAATGGGCTCACTAAAGTTGCACCGTAATTTCCACGATAATAATCATAATAAAAATCAAGCAAGCGATAAAGCATAAAACCAAATTACATACAACTCGGTCCTTTTTCAGAAGCGTGAGGACTTCGGAACCAAACACTTGAGGTTCTACCTCACTTTTCCCGATGCTTCCGCTTCCAGTTGTGGTATAACATAAAAATAAAAACTTTTTTCCGACCCAAAAACTTGCACATTGTCAAAAAAAAAGAAGAGGACAAACCTTAAGAAATTCGGCCACTAAAATATGTATATACAGATATTTTTCGTTCGACTTGGTCAGGGCTGCCAGACATTTTATGGAGCACGTAACGGACATTTTTTTGCGGGTTATTTTCGTTTGAAAAGTTTTCCCATAATGCCCTCGCGCATTATGTAATATCGGGCCGACTGCAGCCGAATATCAGCACGTATTGGGGTTAAGATAATGCCCCTCCAACGATCTGGGTGGTGCTGTATAGACTTTTATTTGTGCCGAGCGAAAGAGCTAAATTCATTAAGTTGTCAAATGCAAGTCAACACAATACGAATTTCTGACATGGGCATGTCATATCCACTGCGCCGCAAATATCGCGAGCAGACGAAGCGAAAGAGTAGAACGGCGATAGGAAATGGGAAATATGAAATGGTTTCCCCCAAGTGGCTCTTGAAAAGCCAAAGAAAAAGAAAATGAAATATAGGAATGCAAATCTTGGCCATTGTCGTCAGACTTTCTTCTGCCCCCAATTTCACAGTTTAAATGCCAGGAATAGCAGCCATTTAACATTAGTTAAAGTTTATGGAAAAACTTGTACTATATAATATATCTCTTGCATTTTTCCTTCGGAATACAAATGCCTTGGGTATGCTTATAACGCAACCATCCCTTCTTACAGGCGCAGCCTCGTTCGCATTTTTTCGGGATGCACCTGCGATTATAATAATAACTCGAGCATAACTTTGGGCACACTGGTGCGCATTTGACCGTTACATCATTGTGGTGACAGGCTAAAAGAAAAAATTAAATGTAGATCTATATTCGAAGAAAAATGTAAACTTACACTGGATAAGCGGTATTTCTTGAGCATGTAAGAAATTTAATAACCACATTACCACGAGAAGAAACAGTCCGAAGAGCATCTTATTTGTTTCATCTAACGTATCATCTGAAATATGGAACATTTCTACTGAACTCTGGTGTGCAAAATCAATTTTGTTCCAGCTGATTAGTTGCAATCCAATGATTTGGTACATTTTAAATTAATTATACAGTTTATTGGCCAAACAACTGGCCACCTCAGCGATAAATTAATGATCCCTTAAAGCCCGCCCACGTCACCGCTAAGCCTCTTACTCCGGCCAAAATTAACTGGAAAAATCCGTTGCTGATGGAGAAAATGCCGCAAACGGCCGGCTTAAAATCCCGCTGGCCGCAACAAATGAAAAATTCAGGGAACAGAGAATACCGACTGCCTACGGGTAAACATTTTAATTCTACTAATTGAAGCTGTGAAATCTATGGCCCGAACGAAATCAAATGGGAATCCAAAACTAATAAACGGTTTAACGGGGCGTATGCGTGGTTTGCCATGTTGATTTTGCATATTACATTATTTTTTTATTTATTTGTTTTTTTTTTTTCGCAGTGTAATTAACCGTCCAGCAGGCGCATAATTACAATTTTGAAATTGTATGCCCTGAATATGTGGCATATGTGTGTGGAAGAAAGGTGCATTGTGTGCCTACGATGGCTCACATATCAGCTGTGGTTTTTCGGGCCAGGACTGAGGTGGATGACGACCACCCTCTGATGATATGGTGGATGGCCTAGACAATGGATAATAGATGCTGGTCACCGTTTGTTGGCTCAGTCCTCTGGCATTATGCGTTATTCTGCGGCCAACGATCATCATCATCGGGCATCGTCCATCGTGCATCGTGCATTTGCGGTTTTAATTATGTCCAGCTCGTCGAATGCATCGCGGCGAAAACAATGCGAATGTTGGGCAGAATGTGGGGCTTAAATGGAAAATGGGGACGACGAGCCAGTTGCATTGTTGCAGCGATTGAAATAAATGATGCGAGATGGGACAACTGAATATGCAGGACCAAAGAATGGTCTCTAATTTGGGACAACAGTTTCGGGATGGTCGTAAGAAAATCAATATGCAAAGCGTCCAAGGGCATGGGAATGGGCCATGATTAATGGGTAATGTGAAGCCGGGGAGCTGTGCATATGGCATGCATGCAAATATGGCAAACGTTCGCTGATTGATAAACCAAATGCCAAGCAGAGCGAATAAATCGTTGCATCAGAATGGATGTGGCACACACGAAACATGTAGCATATATATAGCATATACAATACAACATCAGCGAAGATCCGATACGCCCATTGTGCTACCGAAAATTGCTATACCCAAAACTCCGTTGATGGGATGGCAGTCAATCAACGTTGAGGGCTTAAAGTGTCACCCTCACCTCACCTAAACTCTACTTAACTCAACTCAACCAACTAACAAAACCCAAAGGGCATACAACCCCACGTGCAGAATGATGAGCAAACTTAATGCGAATGCTAAGCCAGGTCCCTGAAAAATTAATGCCTACTAATAATTCAAGGGGGTCGCAGGGGCCCTTACGTAAGGCATGCCTAAATATTCTAACGCACAATTAATTGAAGGTGCCATAAATATTGCGTATACGCATCGTAAATCAGCCAAGATGGCAGCTAAACCCCTTTGGCAAAATCCTGATTATGCAAACAATTAATCCTGGAAGCGTTTATTGCAGGGCTTATTTCCTGTCGGAGATGGAAGGCCCAAGGCTTTAACCAACTCCATTTGACCAGGATGAACTAGCAAATTTGGTCTGTGTCTGTGTGTGTCTTCATTAGGCTTGATTGTCGACTGGCTGGCTGGAGAAGCCTTTGTTTTAATCAATTTGCAAGTGACTTGCTTGCTTGCAGCCGGAAACACGCCATTCAGCAATCGCATTAGCCAGGATTCCTTGTTGCTGCCCCGGAAATGAAGGCCAAAAGGCACAGGAGGCACAACTGACCAGACCGCAGCATTAAAGCAACATTTGTTTTAACATCTCGGTACAGAGAGAGAAAAAACACCAACTACCGCAAAAGGCGAAGGCGAACGCTCGACTCTGTCGACTGCTCACAGAATGCTGCCGAAAATTTCAAACAATGCAACACAAATTGCCGACAACCGCAGCAGCAAGCGCGGTTTCGAGGTTCCCAGTTCCCTTGTTCAAAGGACCGACCTCTGAAGGAGTGGCCCGTCGACCGCAGTTCACAATAGTTGACCAGTGCAATATTTTGACTTGGTCAGCGGGAAAAGCTAGAGAAGCTCAAAGAAGAAGAAAAAAGAATATCCTTCATCGAAGACAAAGTTGAGGCAGTTTGTTTGCGGCAGCAAAGAGAAATGCCAGTCAGCTGGACTTAAACTAATTATTAGATTAGGAAAGTTAACAATTTATCAAGCTCTTAAGAGGGGGAACTTAAAACTATTAAAAAGTTTCCAAGCTTTAGAGTAATAAATGTGAATTTAATAAAATCAAAATGTTTTAACACCGATTAGCTAACAAAATATAATCAATCACCTTAAACGTTCATTTGAATTTTCAAAACTTGTGACATTAATTTGTTAAAAATAGGATCAAGGTAAATTGCACTGCTTTGGAGTAAAGTTTCTATTAAATTATAGATGCAAAAGGCCAAGGAATTTTCTGGTGTTTTCCATTTCCTTCGATGTGTTCAACTTTTGCCTACCAAACCCAAAATTTGTTCCCCCATTCTTTACGAATTTGGGGCTTTATTGCAATCAGTATTTGAAATCCCATTTACCGCCGCCCATCTCCTGGCCAGCCGAGTAATCAGTTTTAGCCCTGACTGTAAGCCCCTCGGAGATAGACAAGCCAAACCCATAAATCCAACAACATCACAAACGATTTGAACCATTCTCTGGCCGCCTCTCCATGCACAAAAGTCGTCTAGGTAGTAGTAGTCAGTTTTAAATGCTCGAGCATTGTATAAAATTTGCATAAATTTCTTGCATAGTTTATTTAGCGTTTGGCCATGGTTGCTCTTGCTTTTGTTGGCCATTTTGCCATTTTTCGCCGACGACCGCCCACAAGCTAAATGATGCACACGCCCCGAAATGTATGCTATACATGCACATAAAGCGGCGAGGATGACACCGCAGTGGAGCTACTACTCCTCCTCCGACTTCTACTCCCGCCCATTTTGGCCGACCATATTATAACTCAATTTCTGCGTGAGGCTTTTTCCGACCGCAGAGCCCCAACGCGCCAGTAAAAACAAAAACAAGGCGCTGATGGTGATGCAGCATTTATATTCATATATGCGGCGTGGAAATGAATCGTGGACCTGGCAGCTCTCACCGCAGGATGTCCATTGGTACAATCTCATCGGGGGGTGAGAAAAATGGGGAAAAATAGGAGTTCTGTGAAGCATGTGAACCAATTCAATCGCCGTCCTTTAATTTTCCCCAGATTTATTCCTTGCCATGGAAATTTGCATGCTTTTTACGCACATTAGCATAAGCACACAAAGGAAGATCTGAAGAAGGGGGTGGTTGAATCCAGGGGTGCTTTGGGCAAATAGGGATCTGCCGATTCGAAATCGGCTTTCGTTTGCAGGAGTCCAATATGTCAGACTTGAAGCACGCTTCACAACAATTTTTTGGAATTTTTCCGTCCTGTCAAATGTCAAGTGTCAAGGCAATTCCATTCGCCGAGGAGATCTCTTTCTGACATGCACACATTCGTCATCGATGGCTGCTCTTCTCATTTGTTCAAGTCGCGCGCCGTACGACATGTTTGCTTAGCCAACTACCCAGCCATCCAACTATCCTGCACTGCCCCATGAAACCCACCCCCTTCATCCTGACATGTTTCAATAACTAACTGTCTATATTGGTTCATTCAATTAATGTCAATAGAGTGTGCTGCATTTATGCACGAGTCCTGGCGTTCGTTATTTATCCTTGAGCCAGTTGGCCTGTTGGATTGGCGGTGCTCTGGGTCCTGCTAATTGCGCCAAATGCAACTAATACCCAATGGCTAATGAGACGAGCTGTAATTATTACCCTTCGGAGCACTCGGATTGAAAATGGCAATTCAACTTGACGACGGATCGATGGCTAAATCAGTTTGCAAAATGCTTGTGCATGCTGGGGAGAATTTGTGGAGAATTGAAAACAAAGTACCGATTAATTACGCAATCGAATGATGTGGATTTGTATTATTGATGTTGTCTTGACGATTGATAATCCTCTTTCTAGTTGTTTATTTGATATGCTCTTACAGAATATTAGTAATTCATTGAGAAAATTGATTGATAAGCAAATATTTGAATTAGGGTACAATAAACTAAATATCATAGATTGCTTTCAAGAAGCTTAAGCTTAAGACTAAGTGCTTAGGTAAATGTCTTAAATAACATTTGCTTTCCCATTAAAGTATACCCTTATCCTCCGGCTGCTTGAAATTCAAATAGGAACCTCGGGATTCGCGTAATTCCGCTTGCATATCCACTGAGAATTCTCTTCCGTTTGCCTTTCACCCGCATGTTTCATTAGCCCATCCGTCTTTCCTTTTTGTAATTTGTGGGCTTTCAGCAATTAAAGGCGAATTGTAATGCCGTATATACGTATAAAGTAGGGCCTCGGGCACATTCATTACACCTTTACGCTGGCGGAAGGCCCGGGTTGAATTCGCTCTCGGCTTTTCTTGGTTGCTGAAAATTGTTGCATACTTCTGCGGCTTTTGCCACTTGATGCCGCCGTTGAAAGCAGAAGGGGCAAGGAAGGCAGCGGCTGCCACTTTAGTGCGCCCACTCAGCCACGCCCCCCTTTGCCTTCCATCAGCCCCCAGCCCCGCCCACATGCGCGGCCCACTCAATTAACGCAGCTCTGCTCGGATGTGTGTGTGTGTATTTGTCTTAACAACTCTTGCATACAACCTAAATGGCCCGGGTTCTGGATCCTGAATCCTGAATTCAGGATCCTGGCTCCACTTGGCTCCTTTTGCTTCCTTATTTTTTTTTTTTGTACCCCAGCATAATTACTTTGACTCGACTTTTACGACCTTTCTATGAATTACTCAAGAAGTGTTGGGAGCACGTCGCTTGTGTGGCTGCCATTCCAACAGGAATCCAAAACCACCACCACCACCACCCACAATCCACTTGCAGTTTATCCTTTTTTACTGCCAGCCATCCTTCGTCCTTTCGCCTTCGTGTCTGCCTGTCGTTCGTTTTATTTATTTCTTTTACTCGTGTTTGCTTGCTAATTTCTCCTTCGCTGCCTCCACAGTAATCCATGGGGGAGTCGGGCAGAAGTTACTGCCACAATTGCATAAGGTGCAGGTGGAAAAAGGAGTATAAGTGAGTGTACTCAGGCAGGGTTGCCGAGTTGCAATAATTATAAATTGATTGGGGACGAGGTCTTTACTTAAATTATTTAAAATGAAATATATTAACGCTTAATTTACAATATGCAATACTGTAAACATGTTTTTTATTTCATTTTGATTTGAATGT